GTGCCCGATCTCATCTGATCTCAGAAGCTAAGCAGGGTCAGGCCGGGTTAGTACTTGAATGGGAGACCACCTAGGAATACCAGGTGCTGTAGGCATTAAAAAAAAAAAAAAAGATAGCTACAAAACGAGAAACAAAAAAGCTCGCCGTATATTGACCATACAAATTCATGTGTAGTAAAAATATAAAAATAAAGACCAGAAGTATACATTCCTAGAATTTCCAGTTACCTCTGGGAAGAAAGAAAAGGGAATGGGTTCAGAGAAGAGTGACAATAAAGTTTTCAATTCCATATGAAATTTTTATTTCCTTAAAATAATCTTAAATAATTATAATAATTTGTTGAAACTGCATGCTGGGTATATGGATTTTTTGCTTTATTATGTTCTAAATGTTTAAATTATTTCATAATGCCAATAATCTTTTTCTTATATATATCTACTTAGAGGGCAAACTAATAACACCATATTAAAGGACATATTAAAACTATATATCAAAGCCTTAAATATGTCTTTTACCATAGTCCCAACACTAGGAACATATTCTGAGAAAAATCAAAGGTTTGCTTAAAGGATGACCTTCACGATATTCTTAGAGTAACTACAAATTGGTTACACCTAAAATGTCGAATAAAATTGTGATTATTGAGTATTCATTTAAAAATTGCATAGAATAAAATGGAAGGTTGGGTGAGATGTGTGGAGATAGATGAAAGCAAGATTTGCCACAAGTTGGTCATTATGGCTGGGTGATAAGTACAATATTCTACTTTTTATATACTTTAAATTTTCTATTATAAAAAGTCTTGAAATGTGAGAATATCAAAATTTACTAAACTCAAAAAAGTTTAAAATAGTAAGAACAGTATCTTTTTAAAAATCTCTTAGTTCATTTATTGGATCAGCAAATATTTATTTTGTGTTGTATATGTGCCTGTCATTATTGACCTAGGAATATGATGGCAAACAGGTAGCTTATAATCTAATGCAACTGTTTCCAAACACTAGCTCAAGAACCCCGTTAAAAAATTTGGAGCATCATGAACCCCGCCATATGCGTATGTGCCTCCCTCCACATCCCCCTCTCAACATATACACCCATGCACACATGCACACAACACTCTCACACTATTCTAAACTATTCTTCAGTATTCGAGTAAGCTATTTCACATAGTCTACTTAATAATTCCATTTTTGCTGATTTCTCATCAGATATGATATCTATCATCTTTTTAAAAAACTAATTTAACTAAGGATGGAAGAAGTATAGGCTCTTTTGTTATTTCTTATGCTTGCTTGCATTACAAATATGTTCAACCCAATATTTCTTTGTAGGATTTTTTAAAGCCAGGTGTGATTTTATAAGGGTTAATTCTGTTAAAACCAGGAAATATAATCAATAAATCCATTTAATCAGCACAAGTAAACTAATACTTTGTAATGTTCTGAAAATTGGAAGGAGGGTACCATTGTCAACTCCTGTAAGCTGTGAAATTTGCACTTCATCAGGATACCTCATTTACCATGTGTGACATGAAATCAGTTGTCTAACAAGCTGCCAATCTCCATCAATATATCAAATATTAATAGCACTTAATTTCATATTTTGTACATGAGTAAATAGATTGTAATATTTTCTCCTTCATCCCAATGGGGTAAACCTCATTTTGAAATCCATTGGTCTAGTAAAAGATAAAATAATGAATTAAACGAGTACTATAAAAGGAATAAGCATTGAGTATTCTGGAGGGGCATATGGAAGAGACACCTAACTCATTATGAGGGTGAGGATGGTGAACAAAGGAAGGACTGTTAAATGGAGACCTAAAGAATGGATAAGAGATTGAACTGGATGAGGTGGGAGTTGGCGGAGCACGGTGTTTCAAGCTCAAAGAATAATATGTGTGAAGGTTCAGCGGTAAAGCCCAATACAGTATATTCAAATTAATATATTAGTAGTCTAAAATAGCTGAAGTATAGTTTCTAGACGTGTAGAGGTGGGATGGGGTGGATGGATAGTGATTTAGATATAAGGCAGACAAGATTATAAAGCCTTGTGTGGATTTTATCTGGAGGGCAATGGAGAGATAAGTGATGAAGGTATAATAAAGAATTTGGCCTTCCTTAAAGAGAGATCTGGCCTTTGTCCCTGGCTCCTGAGAGGTAACCTCTAAACCCCTGGAATTTCTGGAGTAATGGGAGTGTCTTTGTTATTGTTGGGGGGGCCCCTTGACCATGTAGTACCTCACCTAGGGAGTTATGGGGAGACGGAAAACTAAGTTCAATCATGTGGGCAACCAATTAGTAAGTTATAATAGAAACTGAAGGTCAAGAGACATGTTTGGGCTGGCAGTACTCCATGTATGTTGCTACACATCGATCCTAGGAGCGTAAAACATCTCTTGAGGACAATGGAAGCTTCTTATTTGAAACCCTCATAGATTTCGTCCCACGTATCCTTTCCTTTGGCTGGTTCTAATTTGTATCTTTCTCCCTATAATGAACCATATCCATTAGTATAACTGCTTTCAGGGAGTTCTGTGGGTCTTTCTAGTGAATTATGAAATCTGTGGGTGGTTTTGAGAAAAAATTTATAAATGGTGCCAGAAGAATGGTCTTATATAGACTCTTCCTTCTAACTTTGCAGTTAGACCCTAACTGGTTGCAGCTGAAGTTAGAAGTCTTGGGCAGACTTAATAGTCTGCAGGACTGTACCTTTAACCTTGCAGTCTGGCTAACTCCAGGTAAAGAGTAAAAATGTTTAAGCAGTGGGGGACGATTAGACAATGTACATAATCTAGATTCCAGAGGAATCACTTTGGCTACACTTGGGAGAGTATATTGCAGAAAAGTGAAACTAGCAAGAGATGACAATGACAGTGGGAATGGAGAGGGGCATATTTATAAGATATTTACAATGCAAAATTGACTGAATGTGACCAGTGAGAGGTGAAATCATGGATGGACCCACCAGAAAATCAGGTTTTAGTTTTGTTTGCGGGGAGATAGAGGGAGTTGGAGGATTGAATTCAATTTGGACAGTTTAATTTGTGAAATGTTTTAGACATCTCAGTAGAGCTGTTCCATTAGCAGTCAAAGCATGTACGGAGATAGAATCTGGAGCCTTAGAATAACTACAATTACCAAAGCCCTGGGATAGACTGATGTCGACTACAGACGAGTCAACCAGACTTGAAAAGGCCAAGGACTAAAAACCTCAGAGAATAAGGGGAAGCCTGAGAGGTAGGAAAGAATCTGAAAAGTACGGTTAACAATAAATAGCTGGCATTAATTTTCTTCTTTTTGCTAATGTGAATTTTTTCCACTTCTAAAAGTGAACATTTATTACTTTTTAATAAGAAAAAAAGATGTAGTTTTAAATGAGTATTATAGCATCCATGTATTTTTCCATTTATATATATGAGACAAAGTTTAATGGTTTTCTGACCTTTCTCAAAGTCATTAATGATTCACATAATTCACAATTCAATTCAATGAATTATTAGTGTCTATAATCAACGATTTTCTTTTCCAAGCCATTTTTTAAAAGTACCCACCTTCATTACTACTGTAAGCCATCTGAAACTACTTAACTTTGTTAGGCTGCTAAGATATCTGTCTTCTCCCTGAGTAATTCAACCCAGGCTAAATGAATAACTAAGGAAGCACTGCTCTAAAAATGTAATGACATGTAGCTCTAGAAATGACTTGAGAGTATTTGTTTCTTCGGGATTAATAGATTTATCCTCAGTAAAGTACAGAGAAATAAAATACACAGTATTGACCCATGTAACCTACACAAGTAGCTTCATATTCGCATTTGCTCTAAGATCACTTTTAAATTTTTTTATCTGCAAATTATTTCAAAGCTATAAAATATCTCACGCCATCTCTTTTTCAAAGAGATTCTCTCATTGACCTCAGAAATTCTAATATTATGTAATTAGAATATATTTAATTATTTTTCTTTCAAAATGTTACATATTGTTTTTATCTAGGAGAGGAATATCTGAATACATATTTCCCATTTTCAAGCCCAAAGGCAAAAACTTTATCCCAAATACTGCTCTGAATAACTTTTGTTGCTAATTATAACTATGTTTTGTCCATTTAAACCTTGATCCTTTACTTATCTAAATAACTGCTTATCTCTAGCTAGTGCTGAGCTTTGAGTTTACCAAAATGAAGAATGATAAATATATCTGCTGTTCCTATTTTAAAACTCTTTTGAAAGAAGAAAAATATTGAAAAATATTTACTATATTTTTTTAAAAGTAAATTTTCAACCAGTGTATACATAAGGCAGTATTGAGAAGCACCTTTATTTTTTTCTTCAGAGAACTTGTCTGCTTAGCAGCTACATAGTATATATTTCTAAACTACCGACAGAAAAAAACACACTGTAGAGATTTATAAAATTGGCATTAACACAATTTTATTTTCTTTTTACACTAGTCCCAACTATCAAATTGGTGAATATATAGTCGAGGTAACTTCACTTAAGAACTTTGGCACAATTTGATAAGCATGACAGAGTTTTTTAAAAATAGTAAGAATTCTCAGAATAAACAGACTAGATGGGTATTTGAAAAAATATTTTGGAAAAAAAAATTTTTTTCCCCAAATAAACGATTCCAACATATTCCTAATCAGAATTATTTTAAAGTATTTCCTAGGAAATTTGAGAACCCAAACATCTCAAATATGTCAGGGAGAGTTTTGAGGTTCATTGATCATGCTGAGAAATGTTGTAATCATTTGTACATAATCTGTCATTTCTGAATCTGGATCCATCGTTTTCTCATCTGTAAAATAAAATGCTTGGAGAGAAAATGATCTATCCCTACAGTGTCTTCCAGTATTGATTCCTCTAAGTGATTTGATTTCCTTTTATAAATAATGAAATAAAAACTAAAAGCATTAAAAATATATTTTTTTAAACTGTGAAGGTTTTTTTTCTTTTTTGGTTTGTTTGTTTAAATCTGTTAAGAATCTTGAAGTTACTTTACATAAACAAGCCAGCCATTTTATATCTGAATAAAAATAGGTTAATAGCCTCTGCACAAAACATGGTATAAACATCTCTGACTTAAAGCGAAATATTTTCCAACTTAAACTTTGCTTCAGATCCAAACTTCTTTTCTCAGATACTCATTTTATCAATTGAATACTTTTTCTAGTTTATATGTTTATTAAAATTAATCTTGCTCCCCTTCCATATGGAAAAACACACATCTACTTGTCATCATCTTTATACAGATTTTATTTTAAAAAAACTTTCTTGAATGGCAAATGTTCATGGTTGTTCTAAACTAACAAGTCTCTTTTTAATGGACACTCTTTAATGTCTAAATGTGTTTAATTCTGCAACTGCATTTGTAAAGATAAGAAATGTCAAAATACAGTTAGTCTGATGCTGAGGTAAATTCTTCCAGTTTGGTAAACATTTCCATTTTCTTTTTAGTAGAAAGTTTTAAGCGTCTTTACGTAGTGTTAAAAAAATGACATTTCGTAAGCCCTTTTCTATGATACTACACAAATACTAGAAAGACTATAAAATGTTAATACTGTTTGTCTCTGGGTGGTGGTATCACACGCCATTTTTTTTTTTTTCATTTCCCAAAAAGCATTACTACTTTGGTAATCAAATAGTATTTCAAAATTAAATTTTAAATAGCCTATAAAGTGTGGAACATCAACACAGTCCACTTCTACAGCAGATATGTTAAATACTTTTTGCCTATTGATAAGCTTCTGTTTTAACAGAAAAATGATTTGATCAGCTGTCTTTCAGGTCAGATGAAGGCAAAACATTTACTTTCCAGGCCCTTCTCTTAATTTTGGCTTTTGTGAAAATCCAAGAAGTGAGTCTGAATTTAATTGCAGTGAAGCTTGCAGTAGTAAACTTTCGGGGGGCCAGAATAACATCTGTGATTACAACTATCAACAGAATGGCAAAACATTCCCAAGTTTACCAGTGTTTCCAGAAACTTGTTAATATTCTCCTCCATCATTATTTCAGAACAATTCCATTTAAAAAGAGTCGCAATTGTAAAACGTTTCTATTTCAAGCCCATAAAAAACAGAACTGGGATGAAAGGCAAAGCCTTGACCTTTCTATTTTCGACTCTCATCTGTGTAGCGAAGCCATCTGCTTTCTCTCCCCTACCCATCTACTTAATGGACTGAAAATACTGCACCTAATTGCAATTTTATCAAACCAGCCTGACTTTTCCGCTTTAACGAATTAGGGCTTCCTCAGATATCTTTCACCTGAAGCCTCGCTTGTAAAATTTTGCTTACCCTTCTCTCCCAAGTTCTCCCCACTTCCCTCAATCATGAAATATCAAATATCTTTAAACCAGGATACTAGGCTCCTGTGGATTAAGCCATTTAAAGAGCTCTACACTTTCAGCATTGAGCGCCTGACGGAAACATCTACTCTCGTCTCTCCTCATGTGGCTATGGGGCCGGTATTATAATCAATCATTGTTGCGGTTACGCAGGAGGCACCTCGCAGCTCAGCCTAGAACCGAGACGCGTCTCTTAACGCCGCCAAACAACAGGGCACTCAGACTGGGAAAAAGACGGACAGAGGGAAGAACACCTCCGGGAGGAAGGGAGCTGGGAAGAAGAGGGAGCTCTCAAGACTGGAAGAAAGGACCTTCGAGGCACGCAGGAGAAAGGGTGTGTGAAGTGCAGCAAGAAGTGGGCGGTCGAAGTGAAGCGGGAAGAAGGGGCCGGGGCCAGCGGGAGGGCGCGGGGACCCAGGCGGGCGTGGGCAGCTCGCAGCCCACCGCTGGACTCCGAGCAGTGGGGGCGCTTTCAGCGGCGCCCAGCGCGGGTGTGGAAGGGTGGGGGGTGAAGAGCGGAAAAGAGCAGTTTGAGGGGCGGACGAGGCAGGGACAGCGGGCCCACCCCTGGCCGAGCCCCGCTACTTAACTATTTGTAGAGCTGCTGCAGGCACAGGTCCAGGCTCTCGCCCTCCACCTCTTCGCGGGTGATGCGCTCCGACAGCGGCCGCGGGAGCGGGGGCAGCGGCGGCAGCTGGGGCTGCGGCAGCGGCGGCACAGCCGACTGCCCCGGGGCGGCCGCCGCCTCCTCTTCCTCGCCCTCCGCCGCCGCCACCGCCTCCTCCTCGACCGCCTCCTCCTCGGGTTCGGGGTCTTGCTCTTGCTCCCCCTCCTTCGTCGCGGCTATCGTGACCGCCTCCTCCCCAGGCTCTTCGACCGAAGCCTCGGCCCCCTCAGCCGCTACCAGTTCGGGCTCGGGCTCGGGCTCCGACTCGGGTTCGGGTTCTGGCTCCGGCTCGCCGCCGCCGCAGGGTCCGCGAAACTCGCCCAGGAATAGCTCCAGGAAGCGCCGGTAAGTTTTCTCCTCCGGGCTGCAGCCGGCCATCGCTGCTCATGCCCCGGGGCCGACCGGAAAGTGGGTGGGGGGAAGCCCAGGAAGGGGAGGGGGCTGCTCTTGAGCCTCCGGCTCCCGCAAGGGCGGTTAACGGCCGCACCGGCACGAGCGATCAGCACTAGGTTGCTTGGAGAGGGCTCCCGCAGGCGTGCGCGCTGCCGAGCGACGACGTGCGCGGCCCGGGGCCGGGGGCGGAGCGCGCCGCCCCTCGGGTCTGGAGGGAAAGTTGGTAGCGGGCACGCGCACAGGGTCCAGCGGAGGCCCACCCTCTAGCCCTCCAGAGAGCTCAACCCACGCTGCCTAGAGACTATCGCCATAGCAACCTGCTCTAATTAAGAATTTCAGGGTCCCTCCCGTCGAGTCCGCGTAGTCGAAAAGACGTTCGACTCGCCCGCTCTCCAACCCTGAATGTCTTTCTTGAATGGATACCCTAGCCTCAAGTGGATGAAGTGAACTATGACATCTCCATGTCTAGCTGTTGGTTCCCACTTTGATTGAATTTACCTCAATTTTCCTTATCCGTTCCTGCCTTGCTTTAGTGTCTTTATCTGTTGAAATGTACCAAAAGTGTGAACACCTTTTTTTGTTCCTTTAAATAAGTAGTTTGGTGAGGGGAAAGGTATCAAACACCTAGCAAGCGGTTGGGTTCCTTTGCACACCTTCTCATTTGATTCTGTAAAGTGGTGTTATCCTCATTTCTCACAAAGAAGAAAATCGAGTAAGATTAAGTACTTTGCTCACTTTGAGGTGTCAAAGCTACTCATGACATTGGAATTAGAACTCAGGTTGTTATCCACCAAAGCTTTCTAGACTTTTTTCCTTTTCTCTGTCTCTGAAGATTCAACAGTACAATGTTTATAAAACCTTATTTTTATAGGGCTTTATAGTTTACAAGTCGTTTTTCACCCTTTAATCCTTACAATAGTGCCTCAAGGTAGAAGACATTAGCATTATGATTCCATTTTATAGTTGAGGAAACTGAACTTTAAAGACATTGTGACTTTGCTCAAGGTCACGCACAAGCGATGCAACAAGGATTAAATCCAGGTCTTTTCACTGCAAAGCCATTAGTTTTCCAGCACACCAAGACACCCCTTTAGACTCTGCATAATACATATACTTTATTACATAATATGTATTTTTTCACATTCTGTTTGCTCTTCTTCCCAATCCCCTAGCCTTTTTTTCCCCCTTAGATTGAAACTGAAACGACTTTAAATTATTCTAATTTTCTTACCAAACTACACACAAACCTATTATTTTCAAGCCATACTTGGGGGTTGGGAGAGGGAGAAGCTATGTTGTTATACAGCTGTATAGATGATAGCATCCTTACTGCATACTGCCATGTCCATGGCAGCATATAATTCAGCAAAAACATACTGATTCTTTTTCTACTTTGAAAAACATGTTCACATATTATCCACCCCATTCTCTCCATTTATTATTTCTGGGTTTCAGTTGGATTTAGGGTATGAAATACCATTTCTAGTCAGTTATTAATGGCAGAAGGAGTCTCCCTGCCAACTGTTTTCATATAATACTGTATTCTAAATCCCTGACCTGATACTGTTATTTTAAGATTAAGTGGGTTGAGCTCACTAATGTACATTATAGCATCATGTAAAATAGACATTCATTCTCTCTCCCTGCTTGAAATTAAATACATGATAGAAAGTTTATAGTGAGTAATGCACATGAGTCCTCTATATTTATTTCTGTCTCAAAAGTAATCGGGAAGACCCAATAAATAAGTCTGTTTTCAGATGAGCTAAATGTATTTATACGTTTATTGTTTAAAATATCACCAGTGTAAGGCAACTTCTGAAATTCCAAGAAAGTCTTTAAAACTCTTCATTTGTCTTTGTTTTCAATCTACCTGTTCATTTCCATTTCAGAATGTCTACAGAAGACTGACAAAACTTTTAAGACTGCAAAATTAAATGTCCACAATTTAACATTCCAACGATTTAATATCTCAGAATTTGATATGGTGACATTTAGTTTAAGAATACATAGCTGTCAACCGTAACAATTCATATCAAGCTACACCTTCCTACTTTGTAATGTAGTTGCCTTCCTCATTTAGATGACATATATTTGTGACATTAATTTATGACTCAACCCACATATCAAAGGGAAGTGTTATATGTTGGGGAAACATTACTACTAACAGTAAAAGAAAAAGCCCACACCACTATATTACTGAAATGGGAGGCGTGTTTGCTTATATTAATAAAGGTATTCCTTCACAAAAGATCGGTATGGATCCTACTGCATCCATTTGACAGAGTACCTTTGCCAGAAGGTTGCTGACAGCAGTGCTGAGATCTCAGAGCAGCTGTGTAGGATGATTTTGCCATTGTCAAGAAGTCTTTTAAGTCATTATTTTGCATTGCTTTACTTTCCTTTTTCAGTTCGTCTCCTCTTATACTTCCCTAATCCTCTTACTTTCTAAAAATATTGAACTATGAAAGCATATGTTATCAAAGGTATTAATTTATTTTTGAGATTGTTGAGATATTTTTTTCTCATAAAAATTGTTTTCCCTCTAACCCTTAACTCTTTGGCGGAAATGCACAATGTGCTTTCATGGACACTTATGGTAATAATGATATAAGATTAAAAAGAACAGTTGAGTTTGGCAGTTTACTATCATATGACCCATCAATTCCTCTCCCAAATATTTACCCCCAAGAAATGAAAACATGTCCACCAAACACATGTACATACACACCACAAAAAACCCTTGTACATGTTAGCAATAGTTTTATTCATAAACTTGAAAATAACCCTGATGTCCATCAATAGGTGAATGAATAACCTGTGGTATATTTATTCATACAATGGAATACTATTCAGCAATAAAAAGAAACGAACTACTGATAAACATAACAACATGAATGAACCTCAGAAACATGCTGAGTGAAAAAAATCCAGGCACAAAAGAGTACATACTCTGTGATCTCATTTATAGGAAATCCTAAAACAGGCAAAACTATAGTGACAGAAAGCAGATTAATGGTTGTTTGGGTCTTAGGGCAGAGGAGAGGGAACTTTTGTGGACTGATTAAATGTTCTGTATCTTAACTAGGTAGTTATATAGGTGTATTCATTTGTCAAAAATTATTGAAGCATACATTTTCAGTAAGGATATATGTAAATTACACTTTAATAAAGTTGATTTTTAAAGTTAAAAATTGATTATTATTACTCCTTGTCCTTTTTGCTATCATATCCACTTTTTCTCCTCCCTTGTTCTGCTCTGTATTTGGGGTGGGAGTGGGGCAACTCTTTCAGGCTATATTCAGAATGTTTCGTCTTTTTTTAATTTTTATTTAAGTTTATTGGGGTAACATTGGTTATCCCAATAATTTTCAGGTGTACATTATCATTTGACATCTGTATATTCTATTGTGTATTTACCACCCAAAGTCCAGTTTCCTTCAGCTACCATATATTTGATCCCCTTTACCCACTTCACCCTCCCCTTAAACCCTATATTTGACCCCTTTACCCCATCTACCTCCCCACTCCTCTCCCACCCCACTGGTAACCACTAGTCTATAGTCCTCTGATAACCACTAGCCTATAGTCCATGTCCATGAGTCTTTGTTTGTACTGCTCATTTGTTGGTTTTAGGTTTATATCCCACATATAAGTGATATCATGTGATTTTCAACTTTTTCTGTCTGGCTTATTTTGCTTAGCATGATTATCTCAAGATCCATCCATGTTGTCACAAATGGCAGTATTTCATCTCTTCTTATGGCTGAGTAATATTCCATTGTATATATGTACCACAGCTTCTTTAGCTAATCATCTATTGTAGGACACTTCGGTTGCTTCCATGTCCTGGTCACTGTGAATAATGCTGCTATGAACACTGGTGTGCAAATATCTTTTTGGAGATGAGTTTTCAAGTCTTTGGGGGTAAATACCCAGTAGAGGGATTGCTGGATCATATGGTAGATCAATTCTTAGTTTTGTGAGGAACCTCCATACTGTTTTCCATAGTGGCTGTACCAATTTGCAGTCCCACCAGCAGTGTATAAGGGTTCTTTTTTCTCTGCATCCTCTCTAACATTTGTAATTACTTGTCCTGTTAATTATAGCTATTCTGACAGGTGTGAGATGGTATCTCATTATGGTTTTGATTTGCATTTCCCTAATAGCTAGCAATGCTGAGCATCTTTTCATATATTTGTTGGCCATTTGTATGTCCTCTGCCCATTTTTTGATCATTTGTTTTTTTTGTTGTTGTTGTTGAGTTGTATGAGTTCTTTGTATATTTTGGATATTAGGCCTTTATTGGAGGTGTTGCTTGCAAATATATTTTCTTATTCAGATGGTTCTCTCTTTACCTTGTTGACGATTTCTTTTGTTGAGCAAAAGCTTTTTAGTTTGATGTAGTCCCATTCATTTATTTTAGCTTTCACTTCTCTTGCTTTTGAGATCAAATTTATAAAATTCTCTTTAAGACTAAGGTCCTTGAGTTTAGTTCCTATGTTTTCTTCTATGCATTTTATTGTTTCAGTTCTTATATTCAGGTCCTTAATCCATTTTGAGTTAATTTTGGTGTGTGGGATAGACCACAGTCTAGTTTCATTCTTCTGCAGGTGGCTTTCCAGACCATTTATTGAAGAGGCTTTCCTTTCTCCACTGTATGTTTTTGGCTTCTTTGTTGAAAATTATTTGCCTATATAAATATGGGTTTACCTCTCAGCATGTTTCTTGACAGCTGACTTTCAACTGAGATTTACCCCGTAAGAGGAATTGGCAGGAAATTAGAAGCTAGAAGGAAAGGAGAAAAACCAGAACATTTTTTCCCTATTCCCTCAGTCCATAACCTGCTGCATTTCCTTTGTAGCTTTGCTCCCCTGATCATGTCTACTGGGATTCCAGCTTTTGCTTGTGACACCAGCCCCAGACCTCTAGAAACATTATCATCTTCCATTTGTCCATCAGCCTAGAATTGGAGTGGCTTCTAGCTTCCTAATCTAGCCTGCTATGGACTGAGTATTTCTGTACTCCCAAAAGTCGTATGTTGAAATCCTAACCTTAAGGTGGGTGATGATATTAGGAAGTAGGGCCTTTGGGAGGTGATTAGGTCATCAGGGTGGAACCCTCATACATGGGATTTGGTGTCCTTAAAAAAAGGGTCCAAAAGAGACCTCTCTTCCCTTCTGCCATGTGAGGACATAGTAAAAAGATGGCTGTCTGTGAACCAGACACTGAATGGGCCGGAGTCTCTAAAACTGTGAGAAATACATTTCTGCTGTTTATAATCCATCCAGTTTATGGTATTTTTGTTAAAGCAGCCCAAATGAACTAAGACACTGACTCACTTTTCCTTTCGGCTTTTTAGCTCTTCTATCGCTTGTGTAACCAATTCCCTGTATTCTATCCTGTTTTCTTTTTATTTTTTTTTTTTAAACTCTTAAATAGTTTTATTTAGGGGTTCTTTTCTTCTTTCAGGCTTTCTGCAAAAGGAATTATTTTTTAAAAAAGATTTCCTATTTGTTCTACTAAGTTGAAAATATGGGCCAGACTACTTATACATCTGGTACATGCCGACTATAACTGAATAGATATTCAGTTACCTGAATTTCCTACAGACACTCTGCAAAATAGGGATCACCCAAATAGGGTCAATGGACTGGACCAGTGTTTCAGTGCAAATTCCAGCCCCAAAAAACAACATGGTTTTGATTTCACAGTATGAATTCCTTGGAATCTGGGCAAAGATAAATTAGTTAACTGAGGTCATACTTCAGTAGCTCAGTCCCTTCCTCTGTTTTCTTAACTGGATCTCAATTAATACAATAACAAATAATACTTTGAAGCACTATAAAATGGATTACATATATACATAAAAGAACTATAAATGGATCAAGCTGACATTAAAGCAAGTTTTAGGTCTTCAAAGGTGCTACCAGAACGCTGAACTTACTTGAAATTAGCAGTAAATGATTTCCTAGAATTAAAAGTTATGAATAGGTTGCCAAGAGCCCAAGAGGAGGGAGGAAAGGGGATTTTTAGGGCAGCAAAAACTATTCTGTGTAAGGGTGGATATATATTATTAGACATTTGTCAAAATCTATAGGATGTACAACACAAAGAGCGAACTCCAATGCAAAATATGTATTTTAGTTAATAATAATGTATCAGTATTGGCTCATCAATTGTAATAAATGTACCTCACTAAGATGTTAATTCGGGAAACTGTGGTAGGGGTGTGGGAGAGGGAATATATGGAACATCCTTTCTACTCTTTGTAAATCTAAAATTACTTTTAAAAGTCTTAATTTTTTTAAAGTTAATGAAATATTTGATATATGGTAAATAATTGATGCTTGTAACTAAGAAAAATTGATTAACTTCTCAATTTATCTCCAGTTAATACTTGCGTGGTTATCAAATATTGAAAAAAAATCTGATAGATATATACATACATATACCTACTTTGTTATTATACTTCTTATATGATTCAAGAATTGAGAGTGATATTGATCATGTTCTATTTTAGTCGGCAGGTGCCCATTCCCCACTCTGGAGCATTCATCAAAAAATCCAACTACCTTTTAAAATTAAAGTTAAACAGTCATCTAAATATGAAAACTCTACACAAAGATGTCTTCTATGCTCAGATAATACTGAACACTTTATTCTTCATTGAGAGTGGCGCTGATGGAATTGAGCCACAATGACATTTGTGCCTAGAAGGGAAGATGGAAATGATTCCATTAACCTAGTGTGCTGTAACATATGGTAATCATAGGTGGTAGAATAGCTGTGTTGGACAAGGTTAGAAGTAAGCCATGTGGCACAGACATTATCAATTACCACACATGGTAACCATGCTGACACAGTGTATCATCTCCAGAAAGGAAATGATTTGGGCATATGAAGTGGTTTTCTGCCTTATGAAAGAGTGATCTATAAATGACATATCTGGCACCAATATAGCACATGTGGTTTCCAGTAATTCTGCAAGTTGAAGATTATTAAGATTTGATAAACCTCTACTTCCCGTTATATCAGTACAATAAATTGTAGTTATTTGCATAAAGAGAGCAAATCAAAGTGTCTATGCAAAATAAACTTGGGTCCTTTGCATAAAAATTATTAACATTTCAAATATATTTGTCATATAAAATTCTGAAATTTTTGTATCTCTATAAAAATATGCCAATAATTTAATTATTCTTTAAGGTATAAAGCCTATGGGCATGAGCAAAAGTTCAAGATTAGATCTAAGCTATGCTGGGAGATGGAATTACAATAATTTGTTCCAAGTATTAGCAAAAAAATGAGTTTGAAAGATATATTATGAAAACTATGTTTTAAGAAAATTTAATATACATTCTTTCAGATGAGTGCAGGATGGATTAAAGAAGAGAGACTCAAGGCTGAAAGATCATTTGGGCAATGGGAGATAATGAGTACAGAAAAGACCCGTGACAGTGGGAATGAAGATGAACAGAAGGAGCTAAGACACTATAAAGGAAGATCTGAAATTCTAAGGCACCTGAAGACACAACTTGGGAAGAGCCAGCAACCCACTCAGAAAGGCTCCAAACTGGCTGTTCTTGGTATCTACTGCTGCATAACCAACTACCTCAAAACTCAGTGACTATAACAAAAACCATTTTACTACATTTCACAGCTCTGTTGGTTGACTGGGCTCATCTAGGTGGTTCTCACTTGCAGGTCTCATGAGGTTGTAGTCAGATACCAGTTGGTTGGGGATACAGTCATCCAAAGGCTCAAATAGACTAGATGTCTACGATGACTCACTCACATTATTTTTTCATTTATATTGAAAAAATTGAGTGGAAAAATGACTAGTATGTAAATTGTTTTCAAGGTATTAATTTGATTGTGTTGCCAAACTGGCAGTGGAAGCTGGCTGCTGACTGGGAACTCAGCTAGAGCTGTCAATTATAATGCCTACATGTAATGATTCCAATATGATGGCTTAGGCTTCCAAGAGTGAATGTTCCAATGAATAAAGAGAAGGTGTATAGCTTTATATGACCTGGTGTCAAAAGTTAATAGCATTACTTCTGTAGTACTCTATTCATCAAAACAGTAATAAGCCCATTCAGATTCAAGAAAGGGGGACATAATACACCCCACTTCTGATGGGAGGAGTGTCAAAGAATTGGTTAAAAACTACCATAGAGACATTTATCTGCATGAATTCATACAAAATTTAGCAACTTGAACTTGGAGGCTCAGAAGTTTGAGTGTTCTACACTTAATTACATGGGGGATATTAACTAACAAATCTCATAAGAAATTGATACATAAAAATCACAAAGACAACATACGAATTTACAATGAGAACTATAACTTCCATCAAGACAAGACATTTGTACCTGGCTGTAACTAAAGTACTTGAGATTCAATTATCAACATGTTTATATTTGATGTGAATGAAATCAGATAAGAGTTTATGATTCAAAATTTTAATATCAGACTGACAAAGCCTAATGTAACCATTTCCACAATAAGGATCAGATATCAAGACCAATCTAAGAATAACCCTCTCCTTGAATGGGGTTTGAGTGGTTACACTGAAGTTTGCTCCATTTTGACCATCCTTTTTCCTCCATACTGCATTTCTTACCAACACTTCATTTTAAGAATATAGCTCCATGCTATATTTTCTCAGGTTAGAGTTTTCTAACCTCAATATTATTGTTTTGGGCCAAATAATTCTTTGTTATAGGAGACTGTAATGTACATTTTAGGATGTTTAACAACATATCTGACCTTTACCCACTAGATGCCAGTGGTACCTGTCCCTACAGTTGTGATGACCAAAATATCTCCAAATTGCTAAATGTCCCCTGGAGGCAAAATTGTCCCAAGTTGGGAACCACTTCATTAATATAATTAAGAGCATGGCTCTGGAGTTAAGACTTATTTTGAATTCCTGATAAGCTGTTTCCTAGTAACATGACTTAGAGCAAATCACAAATTACAATGTGCACTTCTTGTTTTTGGTTGCACGGGAGCTATACCCCTTTCCTAGCAGCATCTCAGTCTCTCTGAGGGAATTACTTCTCCTCCATCGTATGTAGTTTCGGCAGGATGTTAAAACCAGATTCCTGGCCTCTTCTTGCACAAGTCAAAGACAACCCCAGTGACTTCTTCTCACAGATTCAAACACAAACTGGGGTCAGACACAGGTCAATAGAATACTTTCTCCCCAGACTTTGAATCCTGAGCAAGAAATAAAGAAGGGTGACAGTTATTTCATCTCTATGGGCTCCCACCATGAGACCATACCTATGGTCCCTGCAGTCTGGCTCTCTGGAACTAAACTAGGTCATGCATTTCCTAGCTGGCTTCTTCTGCCTTCCTGTTGTTTCTGTAAGTTGTTGACATCTTTTCAATACATTCTTTTTGGTTTAAATTGCCAGTACGTTTCCATTATTTACAACTGAAGAATAATAAATGTAACTTCTCTGAGAATAAAAATATCTACCCTCAACAAGTTACTAAATGAGCTATTTATAATAATACATGTAAAGGACTTAGCATAGTCCCTAGAATGTAGTATTCATGTAATAAATGTTATAGCTACTATTAGTAAAGGTTTTAAAGATTTCACAGTTTAATTGAGGGCAAATTTATTTCTCTAATTTCTAAGTCCTTACAGTACAACTTGCTGGCACTTGACTACCTCTTACACAATAATTTGGCAACTGATTAGATGTATAGTTGTCATAGGTAAGTCTTTGAGAAAAGTTCTGACATTAAGAGAAATTAAGTAGAAAAAGAAAGGCAGTTTGAGGAAAAAATGGAACTGGTTTTAAATATGTCAAATATTTGATAGAACTATAACATATTAATTAAAAATGGTCTGCAGTGGGCTTAGATCATAGGTGATAGATATGTTGGTGATAATATCACATAGGTGATAATATGTTGATTTGGGAAAAAAAGAATTAATATGGCAACTAAAATAAAGAACTAGGATAATCTTTCTAAGGTTAGAGAGAAAAGTGAACATCAAAGGGAGGCTTTCGTTATAAACAGAAGCCAACTCTGGCTGATTTAAACAGCAATAATTTATGAGAAGGCTAATGAAATAATCCATTAGTAGAAAGAGGGTCATTTCAGATACATAGTAGAAACTACTCAACTATCTTATTCAGTCATTGCTGCTAGAATAAATGCATTTCAA